TCTAATGTTTTGAAGCACTAAGCTGTTGATTTGGGAAAAGTAAAAGAAAGTAGCAAGTATGTGAGATTGCATCCTGACTTTGAACATTTAAAAGAAGAAACATTAAATGATCTTAAAATAAAAGTTCTTGGCAATAAACTTAAACTTTGCATAATCACACATACACACAAGAAAATACTTTTGAAATTGACATCCATGGAAGACCCGCTAAAAAAAAAACAGCAACAGCACAGAGCTTACCAAACCTACTCCATACCCCATCTTCAAAAAGGGCAAGAAGGAGGACCCAGAGAACTACTGGCTTGTCAGTCGCACCTCAATCCCTGGAAAAGTGATGGAGAGACTCATTCTGGAGGCCATATCTATCCACACAGATGACAAGAAAGTGACCAGCGTAGTCAGCATGCATCCAGCAAAGGGAAATCATGCTTAAACAACCTGAATGCCATCTACAATGGTGCGGTGGATGTCATCTAAGTGGACTTCAGCAGACTTTTGACACTGTCTCCCCTGATATCCTCACAGGCAAACTCAGCAAGAGTGGGCTGGATGAGTGGGCAGTGAGGTGGACTGAGAATCATCTACATGGCAGATCCCAGAGGGCCCTGACAAGAGGCACAGAATCCAGCCGAAGACCTGTAACCAACAGTGAATCGACACTCGGTCCAATACCATTTAAGTTATTCACTGATGACTTGGATGAGGGGACAGAGTGCCTCCTCAGCAAGTTCACTGACAACACAAAGCCAGGAGGAGTGGCTGAAACCCCAAAGAGCTGTGCAGCTCTTCAGAGGGACCTTGACAGGTTGGAGAGATGGGCAGAGGGGAATGGTCTGAAATTCAACAAAGGCAAATGCAGGTCCTGCACCTAGGGAGGAACAACCTCAGGCACCAGTACAGCCCAGGAGCAGACCTGCTGGGAAGCAGCTCTACGGAGAAGTACCTGGGGGCTCTGGTGGACAACAAGCTGTCCACTAGCCAACAGTGTGCCCTCGTGGTCAAGAAGGCTAATGGTGCCATGGGGTGCATTAGGAAGAGCATTGTCAGCAGGTCACAGGAGGCGATCCTGCATCTCTGCTTAATTCTGGTGAGGTCACATCTGGAGATCTGTGCCCAGTTCCGGTCTCCTCAGTGCAAGAGAGATATGTAGCTCTTGAAGCAAGTCCAGTGGAGGGCTATGAAAATGATTAGGGGACTGGAGCACATCTCTTACGACGAAAGGCTGAGGGAGTTGGCCCTGTTCAGCCTCAAGAAGAGACGACTGAGAGGAGACTTCACTGATACATACAAATATATGAATGGAGGGTGTCAAGAGGATGGAGTTAGGCTCTTCTCGGTGGTGGTAAGCAACAAAACAAGAGGCAATGCGCAGAAACTGATTCACAGAAAGTTCCACTTGAACACAAGGCAGAACTTTACTCTGCAAGTCACTGCGCACTGGAACAGACTGCTCAGAGAGGTTGTGGATTCTCCCTCACTGGAGATATTCAAGAACTGTCTGAACACAATCCTGAGCTGTGTGCTCTAGGATGACCCTGCTTAAGCAGGGAGGTTGGACCAGATGAACAACATTACCCATTCTGTAACACTGTGAAAAACAGCTAGATTAAGAGCCTGATTAAGACTCTCAACATTCTCTAAGTACTATTCTTTCCAAACATCAGCTCCTAATTGCCTTTGCTCTTACTGGAGAATTAGCAAACTGCCTCCTGCTTCAGTTTGGAAGGACTCCTTTGCATCCCCCAACAAGTGATCATCTGTCAACAAGATGGTATTAACTGAAGAATACAGCCAGCCTACTAAAAGTGGTCAGTCAACAATAAATACAAGTGATGTGGATTTCATTTCTTTTTAAAAGCCCATATGAAAATAATTCTATTATAAGTTTGATGAGAAGATAAAGGAGACAGTGAGGAAGATACCTATCACAACATTTAGAGTGGGAAATGTAATTTTTAAAAAATAATAAAATGAAAAAATATAAACTTCACTGAGAGTATTTCACATCATACTCTAAAGAGCAAAAAGCCTTTTTGGTCTTTGGTTTGTTCAAGTGTTCTTACAGCAAACGCATGAATGTAAAATAAGAATAAAAAATAAAAACAGTGATTCTACAAGTAAAGTTTTCAGGCACAACATATTATTTCACAAGCTCTGTACAGCATTTGACTTGTAAGCATTATTTTATTTCCTGAGCACCTGTCCAAAGTAGAACTGTACCTTCATCTCAGCCTCTTGTCAGCTGAAACAGATACAAACCACCAAAATGGTTAACCTATCCTCTCAAAAGGAGCTCCCTAGAACTGTTAGATTTCATCAGTTCCAAGATGAAAAATAAAAACAGAAATAATAAATAATAGCTTCAATGAAGGTTATCTGCAAGAAATAAACTTTGGGGCAATCACATTCTCCCAAACAGAACATAGAAGTATCAGTTCTTGGTATAGCTCTTTAGAAGTGGAGTCTACCTCCTTGAGTTGGCATGATGGACACTTTAAATCTTTGACTCATACCAATAGTTTTTTACACTTCTGATTTTTAAAATCTTGTTTAAATTAGTTCACAAGACCTTCAAAAAACAGGGAAAGGAATAAAATGTATTTTCATTCAAGTCAAGTCATTGTCAAGAATCTGATGGAAGCTGCTACTAATTTCTTGTATTGTTAGAAGCTAAAGATGAAAAATAAACCGTGTTCAAGATTACTCCGCCAAATCTTAATCTTACCTTACCAGTATAAGCAGCTGTCTCACCCAGAAGAGACTCAGATGCTTAAAAGAGCTTGCAGAAAAATTACATATGTGAATTGAGGAAGTCATGTAAATGTTGACTGTGATTATGCTTTTACCCCTGCTCTGTGATTTTTTTGCTGAAGTATATGGTTCACCATACATCCAGCAAACTTAAAACAAGTCACATGCCAGCAAATCAGTGAGAAAACAGTTGGAGAACAAAACTTCATAACAGAGATCTAACCAGACATTAGCATATAAGTATTGCCAAGAGTTATTAAATATATAGAAGTTCAGATTTGTTTAGACTGCTCTAAGAAAAAGAATCTTGGTATTGCTGTTTATGTAAGTGCATATCAGCCACAGAACTTGCACCTGGATTCCAAACCAAGTCTGAAGTTTTGCTTGGGAAGAACACAACTGCAAAAGAATACTATGTAGAAAATCTTTTCTATTTTGCTAGTAAAGGTTCAAACAGGCTCTACTGATACTGCACTTCCCTTCACAGTGAGAAGCTGCATATCCCACCAGTGAGAACAATCCATTACGCATTCTGTGAGTGAAATAAAAAATGCCAGAGATGAGTCTAACCTGTAAAACAATGCTAAAAATTCCAAAAAGAGAAACACTAATGAGAGGAATTTTGCATTCCCATCTGACAAACAGACAGACACTGGAACCAGAATCATGTTAGACAGCCAAACCTCTTTCAATCAAACAAAAGGTGAGAATCACTATCCTTACTGAATCATGTGTCTGAAAACTTTACAAAACGCCTTTCTACAAAACAGAAGCTGTGTGAAAACAACCTAGAGAAAGCTTGCAGGCCACGGATATCCAGTCTCTCATCTGGAAGTCAAATGGGAATACATTCTGGTTTAACATGGAATGTTTCTTGTCAGGTCCAAATCCATCTCATGGATGGACCAAAAGGTGAGTTCTCTGGTGATTACAACGTGTTGGCTTATTCAACATTGAAAACATTGGTTATTCAACAAGATTCTGTCATTTGTTACTTTCACATGCACCTAACAGGATAAATGATGGCAGACATCTTCCTTAAGATAGCAGACACAAATTCATGGAATTTGTAAGGCTTCCTTAGATATTCAAGCTGAGTCAATTGCAGCCTCAGTTTAAAGAACAAAGATATCTGGGATTCATTTCCATGGCGGCACAGATAGAACTGCGACTTTTGAGAAACAGTAAATAATTATGACGAAAAACTCAATGCCAGCTTTAAAACTTATGGGCAACCATGCTATATGTTCACTCTAATCTCTTAAAAATCCAGTTGCTTCTTCCGGTGTTCTGTTGCATATCACTGCTAATGCGATTTCTAGGAAATATTTTCTGCATGCTAACAGGCTGAGATACACCAAACTGTCTTCCACTTTTCTCAGCCCCTCACACTTGCTCAAAGTACTGCAGCATTTGTGAGTACTGGGTATTTGTGGACATGGGGTACTCCACACTGAAAGAGCAATACAGTATCCTACATTTGTGCACTACCACATTTGCTGTTTGAGGTAGGCATTTACATCAAAATATCCTTTATCAGATAAGCAACAAAGAAAACAACAGGGAAAAAAGTTAAAACTACATTTATAACAGTTAGTAACTTTAGATACAGTAATGGAAGTAGTTTTTCTCTTCTTCGCTTCTACTTAGACAACTTCTGCAAGATATTTCAGTTTCATTTTACTAACAAGTTGGCAGGATACTTACACTTCCCCAAGGCTAAGGTCCAATCT